GATGTATATACGTTTTGACTGTCACATCTCAGGAATATCAGTATTGTAAATTCTTGGGGCATGACACCAGTCTTTGTCATTAGGGATGGATAGAATAGATTTTTCTAGAAGAAATTAATACTCCAAGTCGGTGATGTCATATCCTATATGGATGATGTTACATATTATGTGGATGATATAATAGTAACCAAGGAATCTGAGTTTTTGTAAGTCCCTATGAAGCTCGAGCACCATTCAAGCAACAAACCTTAGAACCTTACATCACACCATACAATTCTTTTAGTAAGAGAAGTGAGGAACAAGTTAACCGTCAATTTAAGTCTTTCTTGATGAATTTTCCTTGCAAAATTTTTGAATTTTAATGAGTTTGTGGAGAAATATCTTAGCTAATTTTACTTTGAAAAAGAGAATAAAAAATGGAACTTGTAAATGACAAACAAGAAAAACTGATTATACAAATTGCTCAAGGGAACTCCTTTTTACATTTTTGTTTGTTTTTTAAAGTTGGCTTTTTCCCGAAATAATGCAACGAAATCCTTCTAGAACTTTTTTTTGTAGATATAAATGAAAGTACTATGCACATAATGAGAAGATGATTGTTCGCAAGTCTCCAACACAATCAATCAATACAAGAATTACAAGAATTTATATTTTACTTTAAAAAATAGTTCAACCCACATAAAGGCCAAAAATCCTCCTTTCTTAATTCGATAAAAATAAAAAAAAAATAGAATGCTAGGAAGTATACAACAGAAAGCTACAAAGACAGGTCATTGTTCTTTTTGTTTTCATTATTTTGAAATAGCTATTTAGCAGATGCGCAAAAAAAAAAAAAAGGCTAATCAAGGAAAATAACAATTTCTTTGTTTTCAACAATTACATTGAGACTTTATAATTTTCCAAAATTCATTGGTAGTTCTTGGCTTCCTGAATTTTTGTTTGGTAAAATCAAAGCAAAAAAGGAGCAAATGTAACGAGTATTTTAGTTCATGTGTGATTTTCTTGATGAATGTTCACAATCCAGAATCCAGATACAAAGCCTATATAATGAAACATGCAATTCATTTATTTCATTGATATTTATTAAAGATTCTGATTTGCTAATATAGATAAGGGATTGTATACAATGAGACCATTTACCTTTGATACAAGGTGGTCACAATTACATACAACCGTCCGATGTGAAGTTTTAGCTTGGATGAGTCACAAAGTTTGAGAAAATTTCTTTTGAAGTCTGAGTTGGGTCAATGGAATAATTGAAGCCACCCAATTTCTCATCCAATGGTAAAGACTAATGTCTCCCCTTGTACCAAAAGTAAATGGTCTCATTCTATACTTTTCCAAATTTTTAAAAATTGAGCAAATATATATAAAATGGTCAAACCACCTCAAAAACCCACTAAGATGGTCAAACGAACCATTTATCAAAAAGTGGTCACATTTCACTCAAGCAACTCCCAAAGTAATCTGCTGTAAAATGCATACAATACCTTAAATCTGGGTTTGGAATCCTATACAACTGGGGTATTTTTGTAATTTAACCCAAACGTGACACAAGTAGGGCCGGATATCAAAATGTCTCACTTGTTTTGGGTTTTAAACCCAATAAAACCCAAAACAAGTGAGATTTTAATGAAAAAATATTTCTTAGTATGGAACCTAGAACAAAGGGGGATAATTTCACCATTTGACTCAGCCACTTAAGTTGAATCAAATGACGTAAATAACTCCGCTTGTTCCAGGTTCCAAACTCAGAACTAGATATTTCAATGAAAAACATGTTCAAGGTTTGAAACCCCACAAGAAGTAAGGAAGTCTAGGCCATATGACTCGAGCCACTTAAGTGCAGGAAAGCACCGAAATGACCCTACTTCTTTAGGATACCAAACAAAGGACAGGGGCATTTTAAGGTATTTTTAATGAACTATTTAGGGACGTAGTTGAGTGAACTAATCATTCTAAGAGACTACTCTATTGAATGAGATATTTATCAAAAAACACCTAAGAGATGAAATAATTAAAACAAAAAATCCATATCTTTTTATTTAATTTCAAAAATCCCATGAAAGAAAACTAATCATGATTTATTATAGTTGATATTTTAGGGGGTATTTTGAAAAATGGGTAAAAAATTAAATAGCTCAAATTTTAGGTGTATTTTGATAAATTGATTGATTTAACCACTTCTGATTTTTTTAGGTGGTGTAACCATTATAATGATATTTTCCCTTAAAATTTGTACGATTTGGTTTTCCTATTTAGAGTTATTTTTTTTGGGTTTTCAACATGATTCGCATAAGTCAACCAGGTCGGATCATGGTCGACCTAGATTGAGACTTTCTCAACTCATGAAGAAAATAAAGGAAATGAGTGGGGTTGGAAAAGGCCAAGTCCTAAGATATAGGAAAATGTATCACTAGATGGTTTATCATATTAAATCAAACTTCGTGAAAATTTTAACACATACTAATGCACACATACGAGCATTTCCTTTGGCATCCCTAAAGCATAAGAAAGGCTATTTCAGAATGGTACTAGAAAATGAAAAGCCAAGAAAGTGAAAGTAGCGAAAAAGAAAGACAATAACATCTTCACAGGAAACGTTCTACCTACCAGTGGGTGCAAATGGAGGATCCACCACGTTGGTTGCAGGAATCGGAAAGTTCTCTTGGCCTCCACTGATATCATCACAGACCACCCTTATGTTGATGCATAAAATTAAATAAGTCAGATGTTTAATCTACTTTTTCCTTTTCTGGAAGAAAAACTCAAAAATTAAGAAAGCAATTCTAAACCATCTCATACCCACGTCGATCCAGTATACTCCTTCCGGTTTGACCATAAGCAAAATGAACCTGCCAATTGATGGCACAATAAATGAATCTTTAGGAACTCAAAAATATCTTCAATATGGAAAGAACAACACATAATGAAGGGAAAGAGATATATATCGCCCTTCCTAACAATAGAATCCCAAATAAACCGTCAGGTCCATGGAAGCCAATTGACCCCCACCAAATTCAGAAGAAAAAAGAGACGTTTAACCTAGTCCTTTTAGCTTTTTCATATTCCAAATAGCAATATTTATTCTTTTCTTTTTTCTAATGACCATGTAATCCAGATCCACGAAAATCTCTCTACTCTCTCTCTCTCTCTCTCTCTCTCTCTCTCTCTCTCTGACGCGGTATAAACTTACCAACAAACAACAACGACAAAACTCACCACGTTGAGAGAAAAATAAAAATCGAGAAGAAAATCACAAGAAGAAACAACAAACATGCGGACCCGAGTCTTCCACTGCGGACCCACAAACACAAGAGAAGAAAAAATGCCCACAAGAAGCGCCTCTCTTTATACGGTAAACTGCCAATTTTTTCATTAATAAAAATCAATCTCCTTACAACTGATGTTCCACCTCCTTTTATAAACTCAATTTCTAATGCCCCACTAACCATAACACAACTTTTTCTAAAGATCAAGTAAAGGAAACGAATTTTCTTCTCTAAGATATAACGATGCTCCCCCCTTAATGTTAAGATGCAAACCCTACTCTAAAAGAGATAACAGTGTACCCCCCTTAATGGATGCAAACCCTCCAAAACGTCTTTATCTTTTCCAAAGACCTAGTCTCAAAGGAAACAACCTATCTATTCCTTCCAACATATGAAACAACCTAATCATGATTTCTCATGCAAAGAAAAAATACGGAACTACCAAAAAGTACAGACCTAAAGACAAGCTTCCTAAAAAAACAAAATTGTAACCTTAAATCCTAAAATAAATAACATTCCTAAAATTAACCGAATAAAAAAATAAGAATTTTAACATCTCTAAAAATAAAATTACCAAAAGCAAAATTAAATTTTTATAGCAACCAGATCTTGATCTGCATCACTCGCTCTCAAACATAGCATCCCAGATTCCATTAGGATGATGGAGTCATTAGAAAGAAAAAAAAAAAGGATCAAGATTATAATTTGGTCAATGAAAAAGGGTTTGGAGGGAGTTAAATGCCTTTATTGTTTAACTTGGAGAGGATCCATGGGCTTTCTATGGACCTAATGAGTTACTTGGGTTATTTGGGATTACAATTATAGAGAGCGCCGTATACGCCTTTTTTATTATAGTATATGGATGCAAGAGAAAGAAACACACATTTCAACAAAAGATGAAACAAACAGTACACTGAACTAAAGGTGAACTCAAGGAAAGCTAGCGTTTGCAATGGGGCACACGCCTCTTCCCCTTTTTTCTTTCCTACGCGTCATAATGGAGAGGACTTTTTTAGGATGGGACTTAACTGGCCATGTCAGAAAAGATAATAGTGGGTATGATAAGGTACATGGAGGATATGGTTTTAGGAAAAGAAACGAGATGGGTGATGCTATACTGGATTTTAATATGGCTTACGAACTAACAATAGCAAAAACCTACTTTAAAAAGTGAGATGAAAATTTAATAACTTATAAAATCGGATTATATGAAAGCCAAATAGACTTCATTCTAGTTAAGAAGGCAAAATCAACCATCATGTAGAGACTATAAGGTTATCCCATGAGAGAGTTTGACCATACAACATGGGCTCATATAGATGGATGCCTGCATAAAGAGATGGAACAGTAGTAGTGAAATTAACAGGTGTCCAAAAACTAAGTGTTGGAATTTAAAAAGGGACAAAGTAAACTTATTTGGAATAAATAGGTAAATGAAGGAAAATAGAATTTTGAGCTCGAGTTAGTGTTATGCGAAATGAGATGACTGATTGTATTAGAAAAGTGGCAAAAGAAGTTTTAGCAAAATCTAGAGGGCAAAAAAATTCTGATAAGGAAACTTGGTGGTAAAGTGATGAGGTTCAAAAGGCTATAAGCAAAAAAATGATGATGTTATAAAGCTTAGTAATATAATAGAAATAATCAAAACCTAGACGAATATAATAATGCTAAGGAAAACACTAAGAAAATAGTATGGCTAAACCTAAGGCATATGATAATCTATATAATAAACTGGGGACAATAGAAGGTGCAAAAGATGTCGTCAATCTAACAAAAATGAGAGCGAGGACAACGAATGATGGCGAATTTAATTTCAAAATTTGTTAAATGACAAACACTTTGGGAGCACAGCATTTGGAAAAACTTTCGATATAAATCAGGTCAGAGGTCATAGATACATTCGCAGAATTAGGATATCTGAAACGAAAGAAGCTTTGAGAAAGATGAAAATAGAAAAGGCTTTAGGACCAAATGGTATCTTGATAGGGATGGCAACAGATTGAGTGGGATCCGGTCTCGTCGAACCAAGACCCAAACCCGAAAATATAATGTGGAGCCCCGACCCGACCAGACACGATTGGACCCGACCCAAAAATCAAAATATCTATATATTTAAATATATTTCATAAATGTTTTAAACATATACAAGCATGATTCAAATATTACAACTAAAAAAATATAGTTATATTTATCTAAATATTATTTAAAAGTCATATATTTTCTAAAAATCAACACTATTCAAGTCGGGTCTACATGGACCCATACTCGACCCACCGGATTCAATTTTTGGACGTATACCTGGACCTGAGTCAGGTCTGACCGTCGGATCTGGGTCTATTGCCACCCCAATATCCTAATAGAGGTTTGGAAGTGCATGGGAAAGATTGACATATTATGACTAACCAAGTTGTTCAACAAGACATTGAGGACAAAAAAATGCCAGACAAATAGAGAAAAAGTATTGTAGTACCTATTTACAAGAACAAATGAGACATACATAATTGTATGAATTATCAAGAAATCAAAATTACAAGCCACATATGAAGCTGTAAAAGAGAGTGCGTGAGCAACGACTAAAACATGAAATGAGTGTATCAAAAAATCAGTTCGGTTTTATGCTAAGGAGGTCAACAATTAAGGTTATTTCCTACTTAGGCAACTAATTGCAAAGTTTACTTTAAGGAAAAGAGATAAGACCTCCACAAGGCCTTTATTGATTTAGAAAAAACATACGATAGGGTACTTAAAGAGTTAATTTGGTAGGTGTTGGAAAGGAAAGAAGTCTTTGGATATATTGACATGGTGAGAGATGTGTACGACAGAGCGCTAACTAGTGGAGATACACGTGAGTTTCCAATGACATAGGCCTACATCAAGGGTCAGCGTCGAGCTCGTATATCTCTTTGTTTTAGATATGGACGAATTAACTAGCCATCTACAGGATGAGGTACCTTGGTGTACAATGTTCACTGATGACATAATTTTGATTGACGAGACTAGAGGCAACATCAACACAAAGTTTGAACTTTGGATGGACTCTCAAGAATCTCAAGGTTTTAAAATTACTCACACTAAAAACATAACAAATGGAATGCAAATTCAGTAATAATAGGACTAGAAACGATGAAGTAGTTAAGATTGATAGCCAAAACATACCTATAAGATATTATTTTACCTATAGAGATTATTTTCGACATCTTGGGTAGATAATTCAAGAGAATAGAGAGATTGAGGAAGATATCAGGTATAAAATTAGAGCTGGGTGGATAAAGTAGAGATGTGCATCCAGAGTTTTATGTGATCACTACATAAGTTTTATAAGACAGTTTTAAGACCAACCATGCTTTATGAGAATGTTGGGCGGTCAAGAAACAAGATATCCATGGTATGAGTGTAGCTAAGATGAGAATATTGATATGGATGATTGGCAAGATAAGAAAAGATAGAATACGGAATGAATACATATGAGGGAACTTAAGGGTGGCTCCAATAGGCGATGAGGGAAAGTAGACTTAGGTGGGTTGCCACGTGCAGTGTAGACCTAATACATCACCGGATAAGAGGGCAATTTGGTTCAAGTGGAAGGCTCTAAAAGACCAAAGGTTTGATATAGTGTGGGTATGGCCCTTGATAGAGAAGAATGGGCAGAACATGATTCGTTTAGCCAACCCCCCAAGCAATTGGGATAACGCTCTGATGATGGTGGTTATTATTATTATTTTAAATATTTATTAACAAATAGCATAAACATAATTAATATTGGTGTTATTACATTATAATATGCTTTATATTATAATTTTAACATCCAACAAAACTAAAAGGGAACTTTTATGGGACAGTTGTAAGACCACCCATACTTTATGGGATGGGATGTTGGGTAGTCAAGAAACAACATATCAATAGATTGAATGTAGGGAAAACTATACATACCCCATACATTATAATCTAGGACTTTTTGATATCATATTATTAACCCCAATACTATTTATTCTTGCATCCAATCCAAGCAAAAAAAGTTTTTTCTTGGACAAAAATACCTCTAATTTAACCCACATTTCTGTCCCAAAATGTGATGCCCAACATGTGTTGGGCTTTTGATATTAAAAAGCGACCAATCCAACACAAAATGCATTGGACTAGTTTATATTGAAAATGTGCCAGACAGGTTTCTATATTCAAGTTGTGCCGGTCCGGCCCATTCAAGTTATGCCAGTCCGGGCCATTTTGCGCCTAACCGGCTTAAAGAGAGTGGGAGCGTGATAAGAAAAAGAGAAACATGAGCTAAAATGGCAATATTTGGGTTCAAAAATTTAACTTCTTGGTGCAAGCAAGAATAAATAGTGTGGGTGTTAATAGTGTGGTACCAAAATTATTTTTTCTTGTTGGGCAGGGAACTCAAAAGAACGGGGTGGGGGAAGGGGGGGGGTAAAATGCCTAGAAAGTACAATCTATGGGGCATCTGTAATTTTCCTAACATATAATATCATTATATTTTATTATAACATTATGTTATTATCTTAATATATTGAAATCATAATATTAATATTAATATTAATATTAATATTTTTTGTATTTTTATTATAATATTTTCTAATATTTTAGTACCATATTAATATTAAAAATAAGGGTGTGGTTTGTATAGAGCCTAGGCTCTAAACATTCAAATTAGAACCTACTTTCAAATAGTGTCTAGAAATGTGGTTTCAATACCGAAAATCTTTGCTATAACCTTAAAATACATTTTTATATTTATTTATAAATTTTAAAACTTAAAAAATAGTGTAGATTGACAGATTTATGAAAACTTGAAAATTGACAGTCCAAAAATGCGTTATAAAATGCAATATTTTCAAAACTTAAAATCTATTTTTTTCTCATGTGATGTCGAGATGATCAATTTGTTGATATTTGGGCATCAAAACAACCTCTTCTAATGAAATTTTTGAGGTAGGCTCAAATTTGATTGTTTAGAACCTCGGCTCTATATAAACCTTTCCCTAAAACTAATGATATTATATATTACATAATTATTTTAATTATGATATTATTATAAAGTTTTCATATCATACATATTATTTTTATTTTTATAATTCAATATTTATTATGAAATATCATCAACATCATTAATATTAGTATTATTAATTTAAATATTTGATTAAATAAATATAGATTTGATGATCATGTTACATAAAATAATTCTTATAATTTAAGAAATTTTTTTGAACTAGTAATTATAATTTAAGAATTACATACTTCATACAAGATTTTGTTCGAATAAGCGATATGTTCAAAAGCATTCTAGAGAGAGAAGGGACGTAAAAAAAAAATTGACCATAAAATGTTCTACAAAATAGGATCTAAACCGGTTAATTTGTTTATCATATTATAGATAGCCTATTTCCAATAAATTATTTTTAATTGGAGAAGACTAATATGTTACCATCAAATTATGAAATAAATGACTAAACTGGCTTAACAAAAAAATTGCTTTACAACTACTAGAATTTGTATACCTAGGATTTGATGCATGACCAAGTATTGCAAATACCCAGTCCCAAACGACCCATTAATCAGCTATAATGGACATTTTAGAAGCCAAAAAAATAGGAATCCAAACTACTTTAAAGATGAAAAGCAATATATCGAAATATATTCCAAGGACTTCAAAACCTTGTCTGTCTTCAAAGCAGGTTGTCCTTCAAGCCGTTTCAGGCGATACTTGAAGATAGTGAATCCAGAAACACCTCTCTCAGCCCAATAGTCTACAACCTGAGTAAAGACATACCAACAAGCCACATGTTAGATAATTTGCAGCTAGGTAGAATATTGGACACATTATTATTTACATATTAATAGCAATCAAGAAATTAGGATAAAAAATTGAAGTGTCATGTACAAAATACTAAAAAAATGAAGACAAATGCAAGATATTAGGGCAAACATTACAATGCCCAAGAAGGTAACCAATTTCATCAAATCCTGATGCTCAAGAGTTTACCTAATTTCTAAGATCCATTCATGTTAAGGAATCAGAATCGCAAAGTGCCATTGTTATGGAGCAAGGCCCTTTTAGTGACAAAAAGACACTGAACTCTCCATGCCACCATAGAACTAGAATTTCAAGAATACCTCAACATGAATCAAAGAGAAGCCATCTACAATGGAAAAACAAAAAAGCACAGCAAGGAAAAATACCTACGGTCAAGGGGGTAGCGAAGAAGTGTGTACAGTAATAAGCCTTCCCTTCTAAGATTAATAACTTTTGAAGTTAAATCTCTCATATTGAATGTATCTAAATTATTTCCATAAATTGATATTTGCAATTAATGAGTTAAAAGGTGTACGGGGTCATGGCAACCCATGGGCCACCTCATACTGGAGGTGGCACAAACAAAAAAGAGGGCGGATCGGTTGAAGAGAGAGAGAGAGAGGAAAACAGACCTATAACCCCTCCCACCCCCCAATGTTTCAAGAGGAATGCTTCAATAGAGAGAGAGTGTTGAAGAGAGAGAAAGAGGATCTCTCTCTCTCTCTCTCTCTCACACACACACACACACACACAAAAAAAACACACATACGTGACCAGACCTCTCTCACACACACATAGGGCACAATAAATAAGCCCATGCAAATGCGCACTCACTCACACACAAAGAATCCCAGGCTGGTGCCCTGGCCAAAGTGCTAGACACACCACAGCGGCCAACCTGAGTTAAGCAGGTGCCAAGGAACTTTGGAGCCTTGAGCACTGCCTATATGTCCATGGCGGCTGCCTTTTAATACACAGTTTTTGCAATTTCACCTTTTATTTGTTTAAACAAGGTAATATAACACTACGGGATATAATGGAGATTCCACTAAATTAAGTCCACCCCAAAGATAGAATAAGAAAGACAGAGAGAGCACTCATCCAACTAGGTACAAAAACAGAGGATAACCGAAGGAACAAGGAAGAAATTCGTAAGTACATTGTCTTATAAACCACAAAGCCACATGAATCTTTGCAGAACATGTGAAATTGATGAAAAAAATCCTTTCAAGCTACTACCTTATACAAGCCATCATATGTGTAGACCTTGCCGCAGTAGCTACTTTCAGATTTATGACCACGAGTTACTCTTACAGGGACGCCATGTTCCAAATTATGCTGTCATTTAATAAAAAAGTTAGCTCCAAATAAATGATGCGAGCCAGAATAGAAGTAGAATATTGATACTACAACCAGTAACAAGGACGAGTATAGTAGCCATAGACTAAAAAATAATTTCACAATTCCAGATTGTCCATTGAATTAATCCAAACTCAAAAAGGCTTCAAAAGCCACTCCAACACTTAATAATGGTCAACAAATATAAACCATGAGTCGGTGATGAAACATATATCATATTCAAGTAGATATAGCTGCCATGACCTTCACAGAAAAAGATAAGGATTCCCCAAATGAGCCCCGACTGACAACAAAACAATGCAGATTTTATGAAACTCAAATAGGATGTAAAAACCATTTTTGAAAAAATTGCGATCTGATGGACTGATTGATGAACATGAAATACACAAACCAAGGTAACAAGCAAGGACAACTAGATGGTTGTTATCCAACATATTCAATGTGGCTTCCGTGGATTTTGATAACATCAAGTCCAAATTCTCCTAAATTTGACGAGTCATGGTATGCAGTATGTACCAAAGCTATAGCTATAAATGCATTCCAATAAACTAATGTATGAACATAAAGAAACTAAATTAACCCAGCTACAATTAAAGAAACCGAATACTAAAAGAAAAAACCTATTAATAACTATCTTCTAATTTGATTGGAAAAGTTGCATGTGGGGTCCAAGCAGCACCTCTTGGAGGTTATTTTGACTGGTATACCATCCACCACTTCTGAGTGTGTCATGGATCATGGTATGTATCAAACATACGAAAATAAATGCACTACAATATACTGATGCATGGACACAAAGAAACAAAATTAACCTAACTACAACTAAAGAAACTCAATATTACGAAGAGAGAGCTACCAATAACTGACTTCTAACATGATTTGGGAATTCAAACATGCCCCCCCCATACTTGGAAGTCCTATAGGGGTCGAAGCACCCTTAGGGTGTGTCTGCATGCCGCTATAAGTTGCTGCACGAAACCACCCTTCTAGGCATCAGTGTAAAACACCTTGTCGATAGTTTTGAACTTATGCCAAAAAGCAGCAACTACCATATATGTATGTCTGGGGTAAAATGTCACAGGAGAAGATAAATGAACTAGTAGGAAGCTCTTTTCTACTGCTTGGATGTGATACATCAACTCAGATGTGCAAAATTACAAGTGCAGCCACATGTACTCATAATTCAAAAAAGCATTAACAAAAACTCATGTACTCATAAATCAAAAAAGCATTAACAAAAACTCATATTTAAGATGGTTAATGGACATTTCTCAAAAAAAGATGGTTAATGGACAATGCAAATGGTGATCCAGAAACAAAGAGGACCAACTCAAGTAATATCATAGATAAACCGTACCTTTAATGCCAAATTCCCCCGTTTCATCTCCTGGTCTGCAATTTGACGCTTGTTACCAAGTAAATTGTTCCCACCTTGACCAGTATACACAATATCTTCTGAATTGTCTTGGTCATCCTCATACTGACCTGAGAGGACTATGGACACTGCAAGAGGAAAGCTATAACTTTTGTACTGCTCCTGCAATAATTTATAGAGGAATAAGGCCAAATAAAAACAAATTATTCTACAAATAATTAACAAAGAAAATTTGGAAAAATCAAAGAGATAGCAACAGTACATCACCGAGAGTCAGTGTAGATCTCAATCAGTCATCTCCATAATGACATAAAACACACAAGAGGAATAGCCCTTGTAATCATTTAAAGCTTTTATTAAAGAAGACAACGATCTCTTCACTTGAGCATTTCCTATGAACAAGTGTTGCATCAAGGAGGCATTTCACATTGAAAACTTGTAATCTATATTTCTGCACCACATTCAGAAGTTTCGAAGTACTTTTAAGGTTTAGCCCACATGGAAAAATGTTTTACAAAATGTGTGCTTAATTTCACATGTAGACAAGTCCTAATCCCAACAAGAAATTAAACAATTGGCATAAGTCAAGATTGTTCTATTAAAATTAGTTAACCACTTCAAAGATTGTTAAGGTATATACCAAGTTTTCCATAAAAGGGTACAGATAAGCAGGGACATGTATGCCAAATTGACAAGAAAAGAAGTGGGAGAAACATGATGGGAGAGATAAGAGAGTTAAAGGAGTAGATGCCGCAATTATATGCGTGGATGGATCATAGTCATCATTGACAGCTCATCATGCACAAGGAAGTAATTGTGATCAATTCCCTCTGCAGCTGGCCATCTGCCATATCATTACCGTCCTCTATAGACATGACAGAAGGTACAACCAACAAAATTTCTCAATACAAGGACCTCCATAATGCTTGCAGGCGCCAACCGCCAAGGATAGGGTGGGACTCTTTATGCCCAAGAAATGACGTTAACTGAGTCACCCTCAGCTATGAGGGGGGACAGAAATGATAGGATCACACAGAAGAGTCTCAATCCTGCCAACAGAGCGCACAGTAGTAGTGGAGTCATAAACCCTGATCAGTCTCGAAAAGGATCTCCATATGCTTCCCATCAAGTCCCTAAATACTCCAACAACTGCATGGCCAGGATTCCCAAACGAACAAACTCCCATCAAATTTGAATTTCATTGTCTCAGTCAAGGGAGGTGGCTAATAATATGGATTAGGTCTGTTCAAAACACACTTTTAAATGAAATGCTTCAATCTGTATGTTAGTCAAGTTAAAATCAAGCTTGTTTTTATTGACAAGGAAATCAATCAGCACAAACACTTTTCATGAATGCATAATGAATCTAACCAATGTGAGGAAATGGGTTGAAAAGGTCAAGGAAGCATATGGTACTTCACAAATGTTAATGGACGGTGGCCATCTAATGAATGGCAATGCTTGACAAATATTTTAGCAGGGGGATCGTCCATGAGACCAGGGCTTTTATTCCATATGTTACATTAGGAGAAGCTTGTCGACCATCTCAACATATATGGCAAAATTTCACAAATATGGTTACCAAAGGTGACTCATTCAAAGAACATGATGAGGAATTGAGGTGAGAAGCTAGTAAAGGTAACTTTAAGAACTTGTTGGCAGTAATTTCAGCCATGGGGAAGCCTACATAGTTATTTCTACGCTAGGGACGGGCAGTCTCCTATGAGTTCACTAGGATCAAAATCCACTTTCTTGATATACAATTTATATGGATTTCTAGCTCTCCATGTGTGCTTCAAGTGAAGATGTTAGAACGCAAACAGTTTGAATGCACTTTGTTGATAATGAATAAAAAATACTTAAAAGAAAGAGATATATAAATGTCACATGGTCTTAAGAAAAGGGAATGGTAGCATGTACCAGCCAGAACACCAAACTTGGGGTTTCTTCATCTCAAAAAACAACCTTTTTAGGAGATGGGGACCCAAAGTAATTGCAAATCACATTAAAATCAATATCCTCCAAAGTTGATTTTGATTGGAGCTCCACAATGCACACCTCCAAATTCCCCATATCTAATGCCCGTTGAACTGGACAGTGCAGGTCTGATGTTGGGGAGGCTTTGAAGAATTCTAGGAGCTCCATATCAGTCTTTTCTTGTTTTCTTGAGGAAACTGTCTTTTGAAGTGTAAGAGAATCATTTGAAACTGGTTTTGGTTACTCGCATACCTCCAAACTTATTTTTGATGCACCAAGCTTGGTGTCCTGGGGCAACATGCTATCATTCCCCAATTAGAAAACCACTATAAGAATGCCAGCCTATGACCAAATTCAACCCTCAATACATACCATGAAAGACACATCAGCTAGCAGTTCACGGAAAACCTTCCAAAATAGAAGCAGCAAGTAGCAGGCTTCCAATCAAATGCATGGATAAGTAAGCTTAGGCTAGTAGTAATAGTCAACTAAACATCATTCGCTAAAGAACAAAACTACAATAAATAAAATAAGTGAGAGCAACAGTGCCGATTATCATATTGACACAGTTCAGGAATAGCAGGACCATGAGCATTGAAAGAAACATGGCAAACTAGAAGAATTACAACATCTTGAATCAACCAATCCACAAATTTAACATTAAGCAGCTTAAGTAATTCCAGAAATACCTCTGTTCTATACTCGTTTCCCATAAAATCAATTCCATTTAGCCAGTGACTGTGAAAACCTATCGCAACCATTTCAGCCCGAGAAAAGAATTGATGCCCTACATCAACACCTGTCAATGTAACACATATCAGCAATTTCCTGAACCAACTTTGACTCAGAAAAAGAAACTTTTGCACATTAGAATTCTACAGCCAGCAGAGGACAAGACCTGGAATATCACCGCATCTTTTTCTAGCATACAGAATAGCATTAGTTTCAATCATCTGTCAGAAAATAATGACAGTGAAATCTGTTAAATACAAGATGCAATTGGGGCAATCAAAAGAGATGGAAAACATAAAGCCATACTACCTTGAAACAACAGATAAACATGAAACAGCAAAGCATAGAAAAACACACAGATTACATTTTTTTATTGACAGGGGAATACATATTTCCATCATAAATAATATTTAGCAATCCATATTTCCCATATGACACTTTTTATACTTATCCAACAAAATTCAGAATTGCCAAAAATGCTATACCAGCCACGTAACATTATGCATGGATAAGAAAGTAAAAACTGTCAAGTTGGGAAAGACCAACATATCAAGGTTTAGAAAATGAAAGAGACCAAAAGAAAAGAAAATTCTCAAAACATTAGTCAACAAGACACCTATCAGAAGGATTTCATTTGCATGAGTAACATTTCATGAGTACAAAACACTGAATAACGGACAGCTCTCTCCTAATATCAAAACAATAACCTGTTTAAATTTTAAACCAAAATGGAAGCAACACTAATAAGTAGAAAAAAGGCCCAAAAGTTCATAACATAGGCATTTTCAAGAATAAAATGGCAATGTGCAGTCTATTGACCACTTAGTCAACAGAAAACTACTTTATGCAACAAAACCTAATTAATTACAGTCAAAAAATAAATAAATGTGGCCAGCTTCAGCAAGCAATCAAAGAATGGAACATAATGGTATTTGTAAGAAACCAAACGGTAGACTTTCAACATCCTTGTCACACATAAAAAGACACAAGCAACCAATACCTACAAAAAGAAGCAAAGAACCACAACGAGAAATGTAAATCATGATATAGCCACTTGCCTTAACTTCAAAACATAAAAAAATAAAAACCTAGAAACGTGCCTTGGTTATGGCCTTGAGATCAGGCCGTTGGGCCTTTGTCTTGAGTTCCACCCGTAACACACCTCCATCCTGCAAACCTCCACGAAGATAAAATTGTGACCAAAAAGCAAGAATAAAACCATGTTAATCTTTTGTTATTTCATTTGTGCAAACACTATTTAAAAACACGGAGCTGGGCATGGAAACAGGCAAGGGGCAGGTCCAAGTCGGCCCACCGAACCACGAGACTGACTGGTCAAGACTTGGACCAGAATCATTTGTTTTCTTAAAGACCCTGATAAACTAGGTCAAGACTCAGTTAGAATTTGTTATGACTCAAAGTTACTCGAGGTGGGCTCATCCAGAACAGGTAAGGTGCCGGGTCCGGATGACTAGGGCAAGTCTGAGTAGGACTCACACAAGCAAGTTTGACTAGGGCATATAATGGAATATCACACCTTTGTGGTAATGAAAGGTCTTTAAGTGATTTCACAAAAAACAATTAGCGATAATTAGAAGCTCACTGCTTGTCAGAACAACAATAATAATAATTCGAGGCCGACTAATGGGGCTTCTGCCACTACCAAGTCAACATATAGCAGACTACATAACATGTTTACCCACAAATGTATTATACATGACAAAGCAGATGGATTATGGTTATTCTCAAAACCGCAAAACGTATGTATGACATGCAACTTACCTTCTTTAGTTTTGTAGGAGTTGATTTGGAACTGGTTTTGCCTTTTGACTTATGTGATTTACCCTACAAAACAACACAATTAATCTTAGCCTCTAATGATTCTCAAGCCAGATACGAGATTTTGATGAATGAAACCAGAAAAATAAATAATAAAGCCCTCATTGTATAAGTGACTATTTCCAAATCAAAGCTAAACCCATGAGTTTCCAATTTCCCGAAAGATCTTGGTAGCACAGCCGGAAGGATGCCATAATTTTCTTTTCAATGGGTTCATGAATGAGAAATGTGAAACTGCCAGGAAGACACACACGCATGCATGCATCATGACATCATCTTATATAACCGATGGCTACCTTAACCTTGCAATGGTTAGCAACTTCTGGCTCATTGGTTGTTTCTACTCTCCTACACCTTTTCTCCTCTCCCTACAAAATAACAGAAGGATGGGTCAATTAATTCCTTTAACATCTTCCAATAGTAAGTAGCTTAGTTCCTTTAATAATGAAGAGTAGCTTACAGGCAGATGACCTGAGATCAGAACATTGCACATATGCTTCAATTAAGTAGAGATATAAGGCACTATAACTGCCAAACAAAAAAAACGGATCATGCTTTTTCTAATCAAATATCTATATGTGAAGCAAATATTCTTTGTTCACCTACTTCAATGCCATAAAGATACTTACGAGAGTCACAAAGATCATCAAAGAGTACTGCAAATGAAACTTGAATAGGTAATTATATCGGTACAAGAATCATCCACCCTAGGTAGCGATTAGGTTCGCAATGCAGCATTTCTATGAAGGAATCGTCACAGATCCCGATTCCTAGAAATTAGGAATCCCAATTCCACATTTTTTAATCTCGTTCCGATGTCTTTGGAATCTAGATTCCACCTCACCAAATTTTGCGAATTTGTTAAGTGTTCAAGACTGTGATTCACCAATATGAGACCTCACTTCCTATTTTTAGGAATAGCGATTGGAGATATTTGGAATCTAGATCCACAACATCAAAATGTCAAGTGGTATAATGATTGCCAAAATTTATCGAATGCTTGGAATTTTTAAAAACTATTAAAATTTTTGTTATTTAAAATTTGTTAATAATTAATATCTGATGGGTATCTAAAAACTCCATGGGGTCTCGACAAACTCTAGTTCACACCATTCCTGAACTTTGGAAATTTGTTATAAATGTCTTATTTAAAAATACATTATTATTAAATAAAGCAATTTTATTTTCTTTTATTCAATTTAAAAACTCTAGAAAAGTACTTAGTTAAGGGTACTCGACCTTGTTTCCAATACTTGTGAAGAACTATGATAAAGGGCACTCAATAAATCGACTCCAATGTTGGGAGAGGGCTGTCAAATATATTAATTCCAATAATTGAGGAGCCATGGGTAACCGTACCCAATATAATTCTTGCTTATAGAGAATCTAAAACATTAAATCTTTTGCCTTTTGGAACTCGTCTCCGAATAATTTCTGGCATGGTTCTAAGTGATTTGGTATGCAATTCCCCTAAGTTAGAATCTCGACTCCAAGTTGAGAAGAATGTGATTCCAACAATGGAAGAATCTCGATTCTTATTGGATCAGAGAGCAATTCCCAAATGGTAAGAATCCCGCTTCATGAGATACACATTGTACAGAAGGCTATCCCAACTATAGGAATCATCTGACTACTTACGATTCCATGATTCAATTCATGAAACGATTTGGAATCATAGGCGCTTCCAACAACTATAGATCAGACAAACAAAAAATATAATTTAAATCACAATTTATATTAAAAAGTTGCCCGATTGCCTAAACTAATCAAAGATAATAACTACTGACTAATAGGAGACTGGCAGACCGCACTCAATTATGGGTCCACGGTGCCAAGAGGCTCCACGCAGGCTTCATGAGGGCAGTTGAGTTCCCAGGCATGAAACATATTAAAAAATAGAAAAAGAGAATATAGAGTAACAAAAATATATGATATAGATGGTAGCGATGTTATTAACACCAGACTGGTAATTGGACCCATGAGGGCACTGGTACGGTCCAAAGCTACGGGAACAGTAAGAAAAACTGAAGGGATATTTTATCAAATCACACTGTGGAGATGAACTATTTAGCATTTCACCCATTAATTTCCAACACTTTTGACCCATGATGATGTGTCTTTTGATGGACTATCAGAAATCTGATCAAAAGAACAAATCGGATCAAAAGAACCAAGTCATATGTTAAAGGGTGCGGTTTGTATAGAGCCGAGGCTCTAAACAATCAAAGTAAAGCGCACCTTCAAATAGTGTCGAGAAATGTGGTTTCAATACTGAAAATCTTTGTGATGGCCTGAAAATACATTTTCATCTTTAGTTATAAAATTTAAAGTTTCAAAAATAGTGTAGATCAAGCAGATTTATGAAAACTTGAAAATCTTCAAAAATTTGACAGTCCAAAAATGTATCACAAGATGCACTATTTCCAAAACTTGAAATCTATTTTTTTCTCATGTCCCTGCATCTTGATGTCGAGATGATCAATTTGAGGGTATTTGGGCATCAAAATAACCTCTTCTAGTGAAATTTTTGAGGTGTGCTCTAATTTGATTGTTTAGAGCCTCGGCTCTATATAAACTTTTTTCTATGTTAAATAGTTCAACTCTTAGATATGATATGATAAACTTCCTACAAATAAATGAAAAGAATTAATAAACTACAAAAAGTATGCCAGAACCGGCTGGCTCAACTGGTCCAACCAGTTGAATGATCAAACACCAAACCATTTCCAAGCTTGGTTTGTGGTCTAACCATTCGGACCAGCTGATCATGTCCAAGCTTGGTTTGTGATTCTAAGTTTTTGGGGCACCTGCACGAGTTATGCAGTTTTTATGGCCACTGTTTTCAGATATCCCAACAAGCAATTTATAATGATGAGAAATTAATAGCAATAAATTATGAACCTGGTTAATTTCCCATCACGCTTCCAATGCATGACTTATCGTATTTTTTTAATGTGAATTTCCATGTACATTTCAAAGAGCAAAAAATTCAGATAACAAGCATAAATGAACAAGGGCATAACCAATTCACAATTTGCAAAGAACACCCAACTGAGGACACAAAACATTCAAATAAACCGATTACAGCTGTCAGCGCTTTTCATTAACCACTCTGAAAAAATTATTAGAAAACGGGCACAGGAAATTGCAAGGAACAATAAAATGACAGCACAAAACATTCAAATGAAACACAGTAGTTTCTTCCATTAACCTATCTGAACAGTTAAGAAAAAAAGATTTTTAGAAAAAAAAAAAAGGCATGACCTATTTTTTTAGAATTTCCTTTTGTTTTTGGCATGGCGCCCAGACAGGGCTGTTTTCCAGCCTGACAGCCTTGGGCACAAATTGCATGCACATGCTTGATGATTCACACGATTCTGTAATTAACACCATGCATCGCATATTACCATGTTCTTCATGGTGACAGGAGCCAAGAGTATAGGCAAATTTGGTCTTACACGGTAATGAAAAAAGAAGCCATTTCAAAAATAACAGTCTAGTGTGACCAAAACAAAAAATAATTTATTAAAGGTTACCAGTCTCGATAACGTGTACCTGAACAGCTTGAAGAAAAAGAGCATTGAAGATCTTTAGTGTGTCTTTAACCCTGGCATCCGCACTCATCCCAGATTGATGACAGAGATTGGTCTCGAAACGTTCACCTCCAATGAATCCATTCTCACCCATATCCATTGTGTTACCTGCAAGCTCCTCCCCGTTGCTTACAAACCCTGCCTCAGGTACCAAATCGGCTCGCAAACCTTCTGAAGCTTGCTCATGGACTTTGGCCTTCTTACTCTTAATCGTTCTCATTTCATACTTCCGAACCCTAGCGTTATTTGGCCCCTGATTTTCATCTTGCTTCTGAAGCCTAGCGCTCCTTCTTCTCTCGGAGAAAACTTCCTGTGATATCTTCTTCACCGGAACAGACACAGTTCTCGTTATTGTAGCTGCAGAGGCTTCATGGATCAGATCTTCACTACCATGTGAATAAATTTTTGGTGAAACATGGGGATTCAGAATGAAGGTTGGGGAAGCATCAGAACCCATGATTTCAATCAAAACTAGACGGGATGGTGAAAAATTAGCGAAAGAACTAGAGCGAGGAGGATAAATGAGCTCAGAGACTGGTTTTAGAAGTAATTTAGGAAGGGCAGCGGCTACTAGTTTAAGGCAAACGTTGAAACAAATGCCACAATCCACTGGTTTTAGGGCAAGACCTGAAACCTTAGAAGCTGGAGATAGAGAGAGATGAGAGCTACTGGTTTTATATACAGAGAGGGAGCTGATGCAAAAATTAGAGAGAGAGAGAGAGATCAAAATAAGAGTAATTAGAGAGAGAGAGAGGACTAACAATTCATAGAGAGAGAGAGAGAGAGAGAGGTGGGAAATGGTGATTGGTTAAAGGGGGAGATAGACGTTGCAAATGGGAAGTTTCTCTCTCATCCCCAATTGGCAGTTGGGAGGGCGGGAAAACACTGAGTGGGCGAAGAAATTGGGAGTTTCTCTCTCTACACTTTTTATCCCCTCTGCGCGCGATGCTCCCGAATTGCGCCGGAACAATCCTGCATTTTCAAGTTTTCATTGAATTTCAAACTAAAAACAGTAAATAGTTACCTTAAAGAGGTGGGTGGTATGTGCTACATTAAAACACGTCATTTTCCAATTAAGCTCCACCTTTTTGAAATAGGAAAGCTTTCTAATTTATGTACTTCCCCATCCAACCGTCCAATTTATCGTAAGGGAAGTAAGTATAAAAGGCTTTCCCGAATGGGTCCGTTTGTCTAAATGTAATTTGAGTCTCGCAAAATAAAAATAAAAATATTTGAATGGTAGCTTGTGATGGATATAATTATCAAATTATTAGTATTTTTATTCATATTTTATTTTAATATATAATTTATTTATTAAGTATGAGTAAATTTTGAAATTTTTTATAAAAATACAATCGTATTTTAAAAATTAATATATTGGGACCTTATTTGTAGAATACCTGATCTTTTAGTAAAAAAATTAACTTTATCAAAATGATAAAATTATTTTTTATATTTTAGATATTTATATATATAATAGTTTTTTAAAAAATTACACATATATTTAGTAGATCCATTTTTCACAACTCATTCTAATATTAATATTTGTATTAGAATAGTTGTGAATAGTATATTATCCCTACTAAATTGTTCTTCCGCATTTTAATTTATTTGCTTTTAACTGAAAAACTACCCAGAGTTGGATTAAATAAAGATTTTTATTTTAATAAAAAGTTTGAACAAGGTCTTTACCTCACTCGGAATTATAGGCAGTAAATTGAGATTCTGTCACCTGGAAATCAAGGGCAAATTACATTTGATGTTATCACAATAAAATGAATGTATCTTGGTAAAATGAGCTTCAGCGATATTATCACAATAAAATTGTTATATGATAATAATTGATAGCATTTTGAAAATTAAATTATGTTAAAACTTAACTAAAAATAGACTTATTAATTTTAATGCGTCAGTTGCTTAAGTTGCGATCCCAGTGCATATCATTTTTTAAAGCTAAGAATTCGGAAGAACCTCAAAAATAGCTTTACGATCTCAATTTTAGAAAACAATAATTAAGTACCTAAGAGATAGCTTTAATATTGAGGAGGAAATTTTAGAACTTGCTCATAACTTCGTTTAAACTTCTAAATAATGGTGAAAACATAGATATTAAGAAATAATATATTCTTTGAATATAATGAATTTTTTAGAAATTTCCAATAAATACTGGACAAATAGTCAAAGACCCAGTCGATGATATCCCATAAAAAAATGGAAATTTTATTCGTGGTGATTCAGCGAGTGCAAGAGCACACTAACTCACCAACGTCCATAGTAAAAAAAAACCTGAGGCTAAAATGAAATTAGACAATGCATAAGTTTTAGTTAAAAAAGTATACTTTTTATCAACGGTAAAAATGGATCTTACGATAGGATAATTGAGTGTAGGATGCTACCACCACGACCCCAACCTTTTTTCTAAAAGACGATTTAGTCATTGTGTTTGGTATTTGTCGTTTTTGCGTCGTTGCATAGTAACCCCAATTTATATATGTTGCTGTAACCGTAAAAGAAGCACACCACACTATTGAATTGAAAAAAATTAAACAAAAAGTCTGTCTAACAAGATAAATGTCAACAATATAAAAATTTTGTTTAGTGACCTTATTGGGTCCTCTAACTTATTTTATGTCATTCATGTATTATAGATTATAATTTTTTTGAAAAGTATATAATGAAAATATTTACTTTTTGCATATGGCGAGCATAACTAGTCGTGACTATTGGATGTAAAATTGGGTGGCTGCATTTATTTCATTCAAGAGGCACAAAGTTCAAAATAAATTTTCTCGTACTTTGTGACACACTTAAGGTATGAAATTTCACATCGAATGGTGGTAAGTAATTGTAACCTCCCTATACAGAACGAAAATGGTCTCATTGTATATAATCCATTTTTTTTCACTTTGTTTTTTCTAGTAAAATCCGAGATGTTCACGATTTTTTAGCTTGCCAACTTGGCTATCCATATAGTCGCCTTGATTTTTTAACCTTGATTTTTTGAACCCAAATGAATTTACTGGCGATTTATTTATTTGCCGATATATTATAAGGGAAAGTATATGATGAGACCATTTACCTTTGGTACAAGGTGGTCATAAATGATATTGGCCGATAGATGTGATATTGGGTGGCTATAGTTATTTTATTAATCAAGCTCAAAGTCCAAATGAAATTTTCTCAAACTTTGTGACACGTCCAAGCTATTCGATTTCACATTTGATGGTTGTAAATAATTGTGACCTCTTTGTATGAAAGGTAAATGGTATCATTATATACAATCTCATATTAAAATTTCCCGACTTGCTAACTATGGTGTACATTTTATGCTATATCTCAATGACAATTTTATATTCATATAAATTGTATTCATTTTATCATATTAAATTATAGTGTTGATAATTAATGGTAAAATGAATTTATCATTATACTTTAAGGAATTTCCTTAAAATTTAGTAAATTGATTTTGAAAACAAATATTTGCCCAAAAATAGCTAAAAAAAAAAGCGACAAAACAAAGAATGAAAGGTTTACTAAGGGCATAAAAATTGACAATGAGTTTTGATATTTTTATTTGGGTGAGGTTTGTATAGAGCCGAGGCTCTAAACAATCAAAGTAAAGCACACCTTCAAATAGTATATAGAAATGTAGTTTCAATACTAAAAATCTTTGTGATAGCCTTAAAATATATTTCCATATTTAATTATAAAATTTAAAGCTTAAAAAATAGTATAGATGAAGCAGATCTATGGAAACTTGAAAATCATGAAAATTGACGGCCAAAAAATGCATTATAAGATGCACTATTTCCAAAACTTCAAATCCAATTTTTTTCCTCATATCCATGCATATTGATGTCGAGATGAGCAATTTGAGGATATTTGGGCATCAAAACAACCTCTTATAGTGAATTTTTTTATGCAGGCTCTAATTTGATTGTTTAGAGCCTCAGCTCTATATAAGCTTTTTTATTTTAATTTTTACATGCATTTATTGTCAGATGTGTCATTTATAAACTTTTCAATGTATTTATATTTATTATGCATAACTTTAATTCATATTTATTAATCTCTATAAAATTATTTTGGAATAAATAATATATTTTATTTAATATATTAAAGTCCCAATAACTATCTGATAAGTTCCCAATTAAAAAGAAAAACCGGCAATTGTGGCGTGTGTATTGTCTAACAGTTTTTTCTGCGTATTGAACTTTAGATAAATTTTCATAATAAATCGTCAGAGTTGCCCTAAAGGGGTATTAAATCACTACACTACTACAGTTTCCTTCATTATTTTTAATGTTAAATAGTTTCCTATATTTTTCCTTATTTATTATTGATAAAATTTCAAATAAAATCAAGGCACAATGAAGCCAATTCCTCGTTTGCGGCCCACCAAGAATGAGTTTTCTTGTGGTCCTTTGCTCCTTTCAGTCAATAAAATACATCAATAAATAAAATTGGAAAATATTTTTTAAAGCAAATATGGTTTTTTTTTTTCTTTTTTTCTTTTTGTTTTGTGGGACGGAGTCATTAACATTGCCATGCTAAAACATTCATGAGGTCCAAGCATATGGCATTTGCAATTATAGAGTCCTAAATACGATTAGCCTCAAATATATCAATTTTTTTCAGAAATATGCTTTGTCCATTGCAATAGGAAACAGACTTTCCATAAATCTCCACAACAAAACCTCGTGAAAATTATGTCTATGAAGGTTTTATTGTGGAGATTTATGGGAAGTTTGTGTCGATGTTTTATGGAGTCCCTCTAATAGCAAGTCCAAGCTTGGTGTCGTAATGTTAGAGGGATTATACCTGAAATTTCATTCAGTCAAATATCTCTTAAAAAAATATCTTAAAATATCTAAATTTATCTTCTCTAGCATTGAGGAGCTTGAACATGCAAAAACATTTCAGAAACATGACTCGTCCTGGAAAAACAGGGGACTTCTATCATTTTGTTGGGGCCTCTAAAGGGTCAAATTAGTAAAGGTTTAGACCGGGACAATTTGGATTTTTTTAGGATATTTTTTGAAGATGTATTCATTAGGATGTTTTGACCATTTCATTGATTTTGCAATGTGTCATGACCCTTTAAATGACTTTGCAATGTGTCGTGAACCATTAAATGACATTGTCCTAAAAAAATAATGTAATAGCACGATATTTGATAGATTATCATGGACAATCAAATCAAATGCAATAATTATAAATTTTAATTATTGTCATTTTATGAAATGAAATTAAAAAATAAAATAAGATTTGATGGTCTACCAATTCTACCAATCCATTATGGATACACAGTCTACTGCCTTAAAAAAAGAAAAATTCTTAAGGAAAATGATGTATACATAGTTGTTCAACAAATGACCGGTTCAACTCAGAAGTTGAACTAGCATGTTAAACCGGAAACTGGCACCTACCGATCCCGGTTAACCTTGGTTTCAGGAGTCTACTCGGGGGGTTGGACCAACACATGATCAGTACATAACCAGTCAGTTTTGGCTTTAAACCGGTTGAGTAATAACAAACCCGGCGGTTTTCCAAAAACTTGGAGGTTTTCCAAAAATTCAGGTTTTTTTTTAAAAAGGGCATTTTTTTTTTTACCGTGCAAGCCATGGGGTTCAACTTGGAATTTTGCCTCACGAGTTCGATTTTGGATAGCTTTTCCAGCTTTTGAAGGCTTTTTTTAGAGCTTTTCATATCTTATTGAAAGAAATTATAGTGCCAAGGCTATAAAACTAAGATCTACCATTGAAAAAATAATATCAAAAAAATATCGTGGCCTTTTCTTTGGGTGTAATTTAGCAGGCTCTAAAAAATCCACCATACAATTGATTTCCCCCTCGATTTTGATTGGTTTTGTGTCAAAATTTATGTGTTTTGAGGACAATCAAGTTCATTACACGATCATTGTGTTAGTTTGATCGATTACACAAATTTTTGTGCTCAGTTTTGGTGTGAGACTAAGAGTCTTGAGTTTTGAATTTTGAAAAATTTGCCCTACTGATGATTTTTATCTCGATTTGGTTTTCTGTCAAAATTTGTGTGTTTTGAAGATAACCGAGTTCATCACTCGATTGTTGACCTAATTTGGTCGAACACAAAAAGTTTAATGCTTTATTTTGGCTGTATGAGACTCAAAATGTGAGTTATGAATTACGAAAAATCTGCCCAATTGATGATTCTCCCTCGATTTTGGATGGTTTTTCCAACCTTTGAAGGCTTTTTCAGAGCTTTTCAGATCTTATTGATGCAAGCTATTGTGCCAAGGCTATAAAACTAAGATCGAACATTGAAAAACTAATCTCAAAAAAATATCTTGCTCGCTTTTTTTTTGGGTGTTTTTCAGCGGGTTCTAAAAAATCCACCATATAATTGACTTCTCCCTCGGTTTTAATTGGTTTTGTGTCAAATTTATGTGTTTTGAAGCTAATCAAGTTCATCACACGATTATTGTGTTGATTTGGTTTATTACACAAAAAATTGTGCTCAGTTTTGGTTATTTTGGTACGAGACTCAGAGTCTGAGTTTTGAATTCTGGAAAATTTGCCCAACTGATGATTTCTCCATCGATTTTGATTGGTTTTCTATCAAAAATTGTGTGTTTTGAAGATAACCGAGTTCATCACTCGATTGTTGTGCTAATTTGGTCGATCACACAAGTTTCATGCTTGATTTTGGCTGTTTTGGTATGAGACTCGAAATGTGAGTTATGAATTCTGAAAAATCCGCCCAACTGATGATTCTCCCTTGATTTAGATCAATTTTTTGTCAAAATTTGTGTATTTTGAAGATAATTTCATCAATTATGGTCGATTTTGGTTGTTTTGCTTTGAGACTCATAGTTAGAATTATGAAAAATCCGCCCAACAAATGGATGCTCCCAGGATTTAGATATTTTTTGTGTCAAAAATTGCCGAATGATGTTAAAAAAGTAGTAGAAAAATAGATTTTTAAAATCAACTTGTAATTGGGGGTATTTTCAAAATATTACAAAAAAGAAGTGACAATGTGAAAATTAGTACTTTTAGCCGAAACACTTCCCAACATTTGCCAAAAACGATAGAAAACAAATATATATATAGGGAATGATTTCATGCAACAGTTGTATAGTAGTATAATGCAAACATCTTCACAAATCATTTTAGAGACATTTGTTTGACACAAAATTTTAAAGGAAAAGGTTTCTATACTTCCCCTACAACATAGAAGATCTATACTTCCCCTACCATTGAACCGTCCAATTTTGATCAAGAGAGCCACTTACCGTTTGTTCATAGATCCGACGTCTCAAAGTATTTTATTTTTAGTTCTTTTATTCAAATTGTACGAGTATGAAATTTGGTATGTGGCAACTTCTCATTGGGGCGCACCTATAAAAAATATTAAAAATATTTTTTCGATAAAATATAATGTTCAAAATACCCCTTAAAACTTCCAGGGGTATTTTGGTCATTTTATTTGATTGGAAATATTTTTTATATATATTTCGCTAGTGCGAGTTTAATAGAGGATTGGACAAATTTGGTGTCAAAATAGTTTATAGAAAAAAAAATAAAAAATAAAAGAGTGGAGAGACGTGACATTGTGATTGGGGCAATCTTAGCCCTCCATTCAGAATGGAAGGTTGGATAAGGGGAAGTATATAATTTTTATGCCATAGGGGAAGCATAGAAAGCTTGCCCATTTTTAAATGTACACTCTTTTCATTCTAAAGAACAATTACAAGAAAGAAAATTTTGAAAAAATGCTCTAAAAGGTTTTCATTCTAGCCCAATTAATATTATTGAGATGGTTAGATATAGGCTTCAAAAGGATTTTTTTATTTCCAAAATTTTAATATAGCGTTATCATCATTAGATTAATAATGCCAAAAAAGAAAAAGCGTTTTATAATTTGTTAAGGCCTAGATATTGAAATTCACCAAATGGACGGTCCAGTTTCATTGTTGGATGGGTACTAATTTTTACAATATCCAATGTGCAAATTGAATTATTTTTTTTCCTAAGATTGATTATGAGGATGAATAGAATGTATGTGCAAACTTTGGGGTCATACAAATGTCAAAAATATAGTTTTCTAGAGGTGTAGTTGCATTATACTACTATACAACCATTGCATTAGATCATTTATGGGTGTGGTTCCAAAAAAGTTGCAACCTTAAACAATCCAATAAAGGCGCACCTCCAAATTTTATTATAATATGTAATTTTGGTGTAAAAAATTATTAGGATTATTTAAAAATGTATTTTCATATCTAATTTTAAAATTTGAAACTCCAAAAATGGTTAAAATCATGTAGATCTATAGACATGTGAAAATCTTGAAAATGGACGGTCTAGATAATATGTAACAAGATGTACTACTTTTGCTACCAAATTTTTTTTCTTTTTACACATTTATACATCTCGATGTCTCGATGTCAAGATGATCAGGTAGAGGGTCTTTCAACATTAAAACAACCTTTTCCGATGGATTTTTTAGATGCATTCGTAATTCTACATTTTAAGGTTGTAACTTTATATAAACTTTTCCCATATATATATCCCAAATAAATTTATTACTTTCTATTTTATTTTTTCTGAATTTTTTGAACCATTTTTTAAAAAAAACTATACTACCAGTAGACGGAACCGGTCCACGACCAATTGGCCAGCGTGGTTTGCTCTTTCACACACTGATATACACTATACTCCCCACTGGACCGCGGCGAGAAAATATTTCCAAACACTGATATACCCCATGCTCCCTACTGGACCGCGCTCAGGAAAAATTTCCAACGTGCACTCTCTAGAGCAAAAAATAATAATGTCAAATATCGAAATTTGAATAGAAGCCGTCCAATTCTCCGATGGTAATATCTAAGCGTTGAAAAACTTAAAATTAAAAAACAATCATTCAGTGATTCTTAGATATACGTCAAATTTGTAATCGGGTGGTCGTGGGTCATTGATTAGAATCAAGTTCAAAGAAAGCAACTACACTTTGGGCTCGCCGGCTAATGGCGAATCGCCGAAACATGCTATTTGCAAGTGGGGTCCCAACGGAACAGCCCATTTTGGCATCTGCCATTAACTAAATTAAAACCTAAAAAGTTTATAAAAGCACACTCTAAACCATTTATGGAGCAAAGTCCAAAGCACCGCTGGCCCTAAAACAACAAGAACACACTTTTTTGGGTTGTTCCCAAACAGGGTGCAAAACCCCCATAAAGATTGAGAGATCATGCTCTACTTCTTTTGCCTTCTTTTATAAAATGGAAGAGCAACATACAGTTCATCATCAAACAAGAGGCGACCAACTCAAGATGCATCCGTTTCTTCCACAGTTCCAATGTTCTAATGGTCCCCTAACAAAGTCCCCTTGAAACTCTTTGTCAGCCATATAGCAGTTTCCCTTGGAGAAACTTTCTCTGGCCCAAATGGCTTCAAAAGTATTCCTAACTCCTCAAATCTCTCTTGTTGCAACAACTGAGCACTAAACTCAAGCAAACCTTCCAATGCCTCAGCCCTTTGCTGATATGACTTTGTGTCAAATCGTCTCTCTGATGAACCATCAGCTGAATGCCGGCATCTTTCTGTCACACGCTTACAGGATTCTGGCCTCTCATGGGTCTCAATTGTGCACTTTTCTTGGGTTACTGACTGGTCCATAGAGTCAGAAGAGCTTGATGACCCTTGCATTGAAGCCACAAGTGTGGGGTTTGTTGGGCTTCTCTTTGTGGTTTTAGTGAGAGAAAATGGGTGGTTTTCTGTTGAAGAGAGAGGGAACTCAGCTATTCGATCAATGCGAGGGGCATTGACTGAGACGTCAGGGGACTTCATGCGTTGAAGGGTGCGAATGATGCATGGGGAGTCCACAATAGAGTCTCGGGTTTTTTGGGGATTTTTTCGGGTTCTCGGTGTTGCAAACTCGTCAGGGGGCCAAGGGGTTCGGGGTGAGGCTTTTGCTGGCAAGGGAAGAGAAGCTCTGCGAGCTTGGTGGATGAGAGATGTCCTGCTTGGTGGATCAGGTGGAGTTCGGCCAGATGGAAGCTGCACAAAATCACTCAAAGAAATTACTCTCACCAGAATTTGCAGTTATTGGTTGCTTATTCTTGGAGTGAATGGAAAGTAATGGCATTATGGTTCTGAATTTTGAAACACTCACTAAACCAGTTCTTACATGTTCATACACTACGCAGTATACAAGAAACTGCCGTTCTGCTTTTTGTGATGGGTCAGCTGGGTCCAACCCAAAACCTCAAAGGTGCAAATACAGGAAACAAAAGGCAAAGTACTCTCTCTCACACACACAAACACACACACACATGCACAACCAACCGACTAAAGTTTTGGAGAAAGGCACAGTAGTTGTGAGGTTCTATCTACATGTTTAACAATTAGCGGAAACTATGAGTAACCCAATTGGTTCCAGGTAAGAACTTACTGATTCTCGACCGTGACCAATGTGAGCCATCTTGGAAGTTTCAGTTCTTTTCTTTGGAGTTGCAGAAGCTTTGGCTGGAGTATGGGGGGAAGCAATAGGAGGAACCAGTTTTGGGGTTGTAGGAATTCGTGAGCTTTTAGGATACAAGACCTTGTTTTCTTCAACATTGCCATGGCCACTTCCAGTTGATACATTTATCACCCCATGCTTCACAAAACTTGGGGTATCTGATATTCTTGGCTTAATATAATCTGACTCCAGCTCAGAAACTGGGTCACTAGGTTTTAAAATCCTTTCATCACTGCAAGATCGCCTTCTCTCTATACCACTGAAAAGAGTCGGGTTTTCAACATTGGTACATCGAGAACTCCTTTTACAAACATCTAGCAACCACCTCTCTGGACTATGATCTCGTCCACTGGTAGAGGTACCAGTTTCCTTCAAGTCACAAACTCTTTCAGGGATCGGTAGACTAGTGGAACGTGCAGTGCCACTCACAGGCTGCCGATGTGGTTTTGGAGAATTAGGGGGGCCAGGCTTTAGATGAACCTTGAGAACATAAGGTTGGAGGTGTGGGTGCCTAAGCAGCTCCGAGGCCTGGCAAAAGAATTACAATCATACAAAATGGCAGTATGCATCAAAATCTCTCTCTCTCTCTCTCTCTCTCTCTCTCTCACACACACACACACACACACACACAGGTGCGCACCATGAGAAAAATATTTCACTAATACGACTTCAGGATGTAACTGGAAACTGAATTACAGTACAGCAGGATGAGGTACGTACACTTGGCCTGTGCTCTGGGCTTTTCCTCAGCATGCTTTTTACAAGTCCCCTACTGAAGAATGGAGAGTCAAGAAAATAAATCAGAAAATAGGTAATGATGTTCAACAACAACACGGACACTCAAGTGACGGAAGAGATTAGTAAAAACAATGAACGAGTGCTTTTTATGTTCTTGAGACATTTTCTTTTTTTTTATTGGTGGTTCAGCAGTAGGATTCCAACTTCGGACCTGGGGTTGACAAGAATACCTTAACCAACCATGGGTTGTATCATGTTCATAAAATTTTGGTACATAATTAGATTCAGTGGAGGGTTCACTACTAATTTTCATATGATTCCAACTTCATTATGCTTGAGAGAAAATGCACAAAATAAAATGGAAGCTTATTCGAGAATCGGGAGACTTACAATGCACCAGAATACATGGTTGGAAGGGGAGCAACTATCGACTTGTTGATTTTGTTGATCAAAGCTTGCATATCCTGCCAAAATGAAATGAAGCAATTAACTTGCATGTAAATTTGAGAAGCATACACATGCCCACATGAGAATTCACCCTAAATGTGACCAATATTCATGCACACATGCAAAATAAACACATCCATGCACACACACAACCACGCTCCAAATATGTTCATGATCGCCCTAAATCATGGGAGCAAGAAGGATGCCTCCATTGGGTTTTTCAGTATTGTCTAGACGGATATCCACCCTCTTTGATACAATTCTGTTGTAGGTAGTTCACAAAAAAGGATGATGAATAAATAGAACAGCAGGGCACATCCCTGTGAGTTTTCTTATTAAGATTTATTCCATATGAGGCAGATTACTAAGTCAAATTGACCAATGGAATGTCAACCTAAGACAAGAAAAAGAAAAGATTCCGACTAAACATCAATCAAAATATTGGATAACGGCACACATGGTCACACATTTCCAGCCATGGCCCAAAGCATTGTTGGTGTGTCCGATACCATTAAAGAATCCAACGGGAAGTGCCTTATATCAGTCTCCATTGAATCTAGAGCCCAAATCAACCCTTTGAATGTCAAAACTCATCCCTTATATAACTCTGTTCATAATTGATCATGTCATTCTTACATGAGAAGCAAAACACACTAGTTGGAATCTCATGACCTATGTATCATGCTTTTCTAGTTCTTTGTGCTCTTAAAATAATACTTTCGTTTGATGATCAGAAAAGAAATGTTAGAAGAGGTCATAAATTAATACAGCACACATCTAGGATTTATAATGCCACAACAACAAATCCTGCTTGTGTTAAAAAATGGAAAATCCATGGTATGAAAGCAAGTTTTCGAGGTCAAAACCAACTCAAAATAAATGAAAAAAAGTCTAAGTGGCGCTATCAATTTCCAAAAACCATTCCTATGGATATAAAATAAATGAGAAAGAAAACAAATAATATGGAGTAGAAGTATTATCTGCTAAAACTCAAATCAGATGTAGAGTTGACCAAGGCAGCTGAAAATCAATACTCAATGGGCAATGAAGCCAATTCTAGCTAAAACCGTGAGGAAAACTTTCATCTTTCTATTTCCATGGCTTTAGTTTATCTTTTAGAGTCAAACTTTACTGCAGATCACAAAACAGTCTCCTTACAATTTCTTGCCTACAAATATAAAAGCTCATGTCAAGTTGAAAGCACAAACTTAAAAACATTGCCTACATTCTGGTGGCCATCTCCACCTTATTGCTTACCACAAAATTACCTTAATTTGCTTGCCTAGAAAGATAAAATTCCTTGTCAAGTTGAACCTATGAACTTGAAGTCATTGGCCCCATTCCTTGCTCCACTCAGCAAAGAACCGCATTCAGTTCTCGTCCTTAAAGAGCCCCCTAATCCTAATTGACCACAGGTCACCTTTGCCATAAGATCAGATATTCAAACTTAAGATCAAGGATCCCATTGGAGGAAAGTTATGAAGCCCCTAATGAATCGGCTCAGGCTTGATTGGTTAAGGTGTTGACGACTGCAAAACTACCTCCCAATTTTGAATCCTACAGCTAAAAGTATGCAACAACAACTGCAACACGACCTCCCAAGTTTGAATCCTACAGCTAAGAGTCTGCAACAAACAATAAGAAGAACAACAACACAGTAATAATAGCAATAATTACGAGTCCCCAGAATCCTCGACAGAGTACAAATTCATCTAGTACAGAATAATATGGAGATTTAAATGCACATTTGTACCCCGGTGGACAAACCTAGGCCGCTAAGCATTCTGTAAGAACCTCATTTATATGCCCAATCACCCTTTCCATCAAGCTCCATCAAAGCAACTCGTCCGTATACATATTTCTGGAAGGGAAATGCATTTGTTCAAGCTTCAAAGCAACTCAACTGCCTGCATTTCTTGTTCCCGCACTAGTATATGGCAAACATTCTAAGTAATAACAACACCTTCCACCCCTTATCTTCTTACTAATGATTGAATGAAGCAGATGAAATCACAAATAATCAACCCTCAGTCCCCTGATAAATGCCAATCCAAAAGAAGAAAACCAAAGATATTTGCACTTGCCAATCATAGAGCAACAATGCCCAAATAAGATGATAAACTCTGTCACCTCACCTTCTACTTTCAAATATCCATATATATAATGGGCATCAGAAAATTCATGCATCTGCCATATATAAACTATAATATGCTTCTTTTTAGAAGAACATGCATTCTATTCAAGAGAGGAAATTAAATGAAGCCGATAAAGTAAAGGTTGCAACAGACAAGGAAAGATTGGATGACTTACGAATGCTTTGAATGCGGACTTGTGCGCAGTCATTTCATACATACAACATCCTAAATAACACAATTGTAAATGTCAGGACTGACTTGTATTTCAAAAATGGCATTAGGATTCAAGAGTTCAAACATTTTTCAACGAAAGAAAAAATCAAAGTTCACCTAGTGACCATATATCGGACTTAGGACCATATGGTATATCAGCTAGAAGCTCAGGGCACATATAGCTGGGAGTACCAACAACCTACAATAAGAGCACAGATTATTCATTACAGAATCAAATGGAAATTTTGGAACAGAAATAATCGTCATATTAAAGATGCAAAGAGAAAAATATCAAAGAAACAATCTGGAAGAATTTTTTCATGAATATATTTAACCTGGATCAAATTGACTTCTGCATATTAAAAGCAGCTATAGTTTCAAGCATACTCACCGATGATGCAAGATCATCTGAAGTTAACTTTTTTGCCAATCCAAAGTCGCCTACATTTACAGCGTACAAATTTATGGTGCATACATAATGACAAAATATATTACTTGGCACAAGCGTTTAGTTACTATTATAAAAAAATATGAAATGTGTTGCTCTATGATAATACTGGCCAACCACTCTCTATGATAAACCTGCCCCAGATGAAAAAATAAAGAAAGAAAAACTGTTAGTTATTCAGAGAAGACGAAGATTTACCTAAACGTATATCCTGGTCCTTGGTCAAGAATATATTTGAGCACTGAATCATTACAAATAATCATGTAAGGAAAGCTTAAATGCTTCCATGAGAAGAAAACCCAAATATTCTTATCAAGTGTGGAGAGAAATAAGAAATGTAACTGACCTTTACATCCCTATGGAGTATATGGTTAGAATGTAAATAGTCCAGTGCCATTAGAAGTTGTACAAGCCAGTTGCAGAGTTTCTGTGAAAATTCTAGTCTCAGAGGAGTAAATAATATATATATATATATATATATATATATATATATGTACACAAAAGGAAAAAGTTTATATAAGGTTGCAACTTTAAAATGTAGAACTACAGATGCACTCAAAAATCCATTGACAAATGTTGTTTTAATGTTGAAAAACCCTCTAATTGATCATCTCAACATGGAGATGTATGAATATGAGGGAAAAGAAGATTAAGTCTCATAAATAGTGCATCTTGCCACACATTATCTAGACCGTTTATTTTCAAAATTTTCATATGTTTGTAGATCAACTTGATTTTAACTATTTTTGGAGTTTAAAATTTTATAATTAGATATAAATATAGATTTTGAGATAATCCTGAGACTTTTTATATCAAAATTACATGGTATGATAAAATTTGGAGGTGTGCCTTAAGTGGATTGTTTAAGGTTGCAACCTTATAGAAACCACACCCTATACAAAAAGTAAAGCTTTCCATATTTTACATAATAACTATATTTTAAGCTTCATGAAAAGGGCTTTCGAGTCTAAGCCAAACAACCTCTTCTGGAAAATGAACCCCATTTGCCTTTTTGATTGCTTCAGCCCTGCACCCAAACCAGAGCAGGACATACATTACCAATATACCCAAAGAAAAAGTATACGAAATGTCTTGAGTTTCAACTCAAGCATTAAACCACTTGAACATGGAACTCACATGTCTCCACCCTCGCAGTAGCCAATAACGATGCAAACATAGCAGCCCTAAAAACAAAGGAATCAACAACACCAGAAAAATACAGTTGGTAACAAATAAACTTCATTTTTTATAGGTGTTTTCTAGATTTTTACCAAACAATTAACATTTCAACAATAAATCAAACAAGAGGGAATGTGAATATGCTGTAAAACCAAAAATTTCCCTAAATACAGCAACTAGGTCGGGCATTACAGTTACAATTTCCTCAAATTTATGAATGTCCAATGTAGAAGGGACTGACGGTGCCAACCTTCTCGACCCAAGAATCTTTATACTCCACAATGTAAGGGTTTCTCGCTTTAGATATGAGCTCCATCTGCAATGTGGCACAGTTCTCAATTACATTTCCAAACTTTTAATGATTTCTCTCTCTCTCTCTCTCTCTCT